AAAAAAAAACCTATCTTGCATATACATGCACAGTTTTTTTTCTTAATATGTTTAGGTGCTTTTGTGACTGATAAAATACAAATTCATTTAAGAAGGTGAATGAATTCATGACTCCCACCCATCGATTGTTTTCTCAAACAGTGGAGATCAAGCACAGCTGCTCTCAGGAGAGGAGTCCCCTCTTTGGGGTCAGAACTACTGCCTTGCTCCAATTTCTTTACAGACAACTGAATAAGGTAGTGGTTAAGAGCTCAGGGTTTGCTGAGGACAGATCCGAATTTGAATCCTGACTCACTAATTACTAGCTGAGTAACTATGAGCAAGTCACTTAGCCTTTCTCAATCATACCTATCTTAAAGGACAGTTCTATGAGATAATGTAAGTGTAGCACCTAAAACCATGTTTGGTACACTATAAACACACAAGACAAGTAGCTATTATTATTGAGGCACAGAGGTGTTGTGTAAATTACAAAAGGTAAAGGTCAAGGGCAAAGAGAAGGGCAACTAGAACTCCGATGTCCTAACTCCCAGATCAGGGTTTATCCCAAGCTTCTCTGTGCCATGTAGAGTTCCCAATGTCATATATTCTCCTGCAATGGCCTGCCTAACCCCCAGCACTCACCTACCTTAAAGAGGTGTGGGTGCTTGATGTAGATTCTCCCTCTGGTGCCCCCCATCCCCAGGGCTCTGAAAAGTAACAGACAAGTGGTAAGGATTACAGCAATTGTAGTCCTAGGGGTGGACCCTTCCCTCAGTGCCAAAGCTCTTGACTTACTTGTTAGCTCGAGATCCTAACACAAAGGTGGTGGATTCATTCAGCCGAGCTGGGTCCCACTATGCAAAAAAGAGGCAAGCTAGTGAGAGTGAGGTTTATCTGATGAGCAGTAAAGAAACACTCCTCCCCCTCCCCACTCCTGTCCATTATTCAAAACAGGTAATTTAAGAAACTGAATATTTACAATATGCTAGGCCCTGTGCTAGACACTGGGGATAAAATGATGAGGAAGATAGTCTCTGTTCTTCAGGGGGCCATAGACTTATGCATACAAATAATTATACCTTCACAAGATGGACAATGATACAGGCAGGTGCAGAGAGTGAGGGGTGCCAAAGGGGAGGGTTAACAAGAAGGCTTCCTTAAAGGGATAATTCCCAAGTTGATTCTGAAGGGGTGAGTGCAAGATAGGGTAGAGGGGAGGAAGAAGGGGCAGCATGAACAAAGGCAGGTGAAAGCTGTTTTGGCATGCTGGAGAGGCTGCAGCAATTCTGTGTTGCTGAGACAGAGCACAAATTAGGGTGTGGCAATTAATGAGGCTGGAGAGAGAAGCAGAGAGAGGCTGGAGGACCTAGTGTATTTTGCTCATTCTGGAGGCTATGGGGAGTCACTGAGGGCCTCTACACAGGGGAGTAAGATTTACTTTATTTTTAAAATATATCTTTATTGATTTCAGAGAGAGGGAGGGAGGGAGAGAGAGAGATAGAAATATCAATGATGGGAGTCACTGATCGGCTGCCTCCTGCACACCCCTCACTGGGGACTGAGCTGGCAACCTAGTCATGTGCCCTGACCAGGAATCGAACCCCGATCTCCAGGATTGTAGATCGATGCTCAACTGCTGAGCTACACCTGGCCAGGCCAGATTTGCTTTAAAGGCAGCTCACTCTTCTGCAATGTGGGTAATGGATTTGAAGTGGCAGACTATAGGCAGAGGGTGCAATTTATAGGTTGTTGTAACATAATTGTTTTGAAGTAAGATGAGGGCTTGAGCTAGGATAGCAGTAAGGATGAAGAGGAGGGAATAACAATGTGATATATTTAGGAGGTGGAAGCATCCAGGACTTAACTGGATGTAAGGAGAGGTAGGAAAAAGGCAAAGACAGCTAAAGTAAAGACCTTAAAAGAAGACCTGAGGAAAGATTCTGTTTTCCATTCTGGATATCTGAGTTTCAAATGTTACAGAAAGTTCAGGCAGGGATATACAAGTTTTAAACTAGACAGGGAGTGTGGTACAAACCAAGAGGTATGGCAACTTTAGCACACATTGGTCCCTGAAACCATAAGAGTGAATGATTTAGATCATCCAGAGAGAAACTAGATGGAACAGTGGACCAAGGAGAGAATTCTGGGGAAGACCCATTTATATGGATCACTGAAGAACTCACAAAAAAGAGAAGAGATGTTTGGAGAGGAACAGAGTGACCAGAAAGACTCAGGAGAATGCAGAACCACCCACTTTAAAGGAGTAGAGTTTTAGAAGGAGGGTGTGGTCACTGTGTGAAAGCAGAGGGCCAGTATGACAAGAGGTGGACCACTTATACTGGACACAGCCTCAACTGGCACAATGGAACTTTTATCTACCTTACTGGGCTTCCATATACGATTTTACTCAAAGAAAGGATTCTACTACTGAAAGACCTTGCAAAAAACTGTTCTGGAGGCAACAGAGGCTAATGGTTAAGAGCACAAACTCTGGTGGTCAACGGATCTTGTGTTTGAGACTTGGTTCTACCACATACTAGTATGTGACTATGAGCAAGTTCCTAAGCCTTAGTATATACTCTAGTGTATTAAGCATATAAGATTAATAAAATATAATTTCTGCCCACAGGAAGTTGGCAGGAAAGGAAGCTCCCCAACTATAGAAGGGTAACAGAATCTATTTCTTAAGGTTGTTACAAAGATTGAGAGAATCCATGTAAGTACTGCATAAGTATTAGTGACCACTAGTTTTTTTTTGTTTTTTTTTTAATAGTTTATTGATATTTAGAGAGGAAGGGAGGAGAAACATTCATGGGCTGCCTCCTGCATGCCCCCTACTGAGGATCAAGCTGGCAACCCAGGCATGTGCCCTGACTAGGAATCAAACCAGCAACCTCTCGGTACATGGGATGACGCCCAACCAACTGAGCCACACTGGTTAGGGTGAACACTAGCTTTTACAGGAAGAAGCCTTCAGCAGACTCAAGTCTCTTTGTTTTATCCCTAATGCCAACCCCTGCTTGGGAGCCTTCTGGGAGGCCAGTGTTGGGGGTAGGGGAAGGGGCAAGATGACTCTGGAATGGCATGCACACATCCTTTAGCACCCGCAGCCTCTTTCCCTCATGGTGGGCCTCAGAGCCTTGATCGAGTCTCCCCGGGACAGAGGTCATGGCCATGCTCACATAATCATACCTTGGGGCCTTCTCGGCGAATTGGTTCACAGGATTTAGGTTTCCACCTGATTGGAAGGAAAAAAGAAAGGTGAATTCTCCAAGTTCATGTATAGGACTGGCAGAAAGCTTGCTGCTGCTGGTGGGAGGGAGTCCCCACACTCTCATTTTAGCCCCAGGTGTGCCTCTTCCTGGTAACACACTGGAGAAGGCTCAAAGGGAGCGAAGGACTGGACTAGAAGCCATCCTAGGACTACCTCTGATAGCCAGTCCAAGAACCTCTCTGAGTTGTTCTCATCTGTCAAGAGGTATCAGCAGCAACTGCTGTTGTTAGTGAGGAATGAACTTGCTCAGGTAGGACACAAATCTAGGTGTGATGATGACTACTGTCCCATCTCCTAGTCAGGGCTCCAAGCCATCCTCATTGCTTTAAACCAGACCAGCAAGGCTTCATCTGCTTTATGTATTGGGCTTCCATGTAAAGTTTGGTTTGAAAAAAAGATTCTGTTGCTTTAAAAATCTTAGAAAATGACCATGCTAGAGGGAATGGAGTAGTTTTGCTCCTTATTAGCTGTATGACCTTGGGCAAGTAATCTTTGAGTCTGTTTCCTTATCTCAAAATTAATTGTACCTTCATTAGAGGGTGGCTGTAAAGACTAAATGGTATATATGTAAGGTGTTTAGACTAGTTATGGCACATTATAAATATTCAATATATACTAACAACAAAGAAAGCCTGGCACTTAATCAAGCTGGGCTGAACTGTTCTGGTGCAAAAGTAGGATAAAACCACCTCCTCACTGCTTTCTTTTCCTACCCATCAAACCTGGGTAACCCTCCTCCACGGTGACTTAAACAAACAGATCTGATTTCTACAGAAGCAGAACTCTGGTCTCTCTTCCTCCAGGCCCACTCCCCCCCGTTCCTCCCTCTGGCTCTATTGGTCCCTACTCACACCATGCCGGTGGCTGCCCGGTCATTTGACTGGATGTGTCCAGGAGGCCGTCCCTTCCTCTGCCACAAAGAACAACTGTCAGAGGCCTGACCCTGTGGAAGCCCCGCCCCACCCCACCCCATTGACCGGTCCAGGGTTACTGGTGGAGACTGTTTTTCCAAAGAGACCAAATGGTGCTTGAGAGTGAAGAGAGAGTGAGTGTTTCCAGGGTTCCGGCCTCTTATGCTAGAAAGGCCTCAGGTGCACTGAGGAAGCCCACCACCCTCCCTGGAGCTACAAGCCCTTTCCCAGCCAGAAAACGTGGAAATGGCTTACCTTTTTGGGAATGGGACTTCCTCGATGGGCACCTTCCTCTTCTATCTGCCGACCACGCTGCAGAAAAGGAAAGGCCAATGCCTGGGGGCCGCAGGTTCCCTGAGATTGCAGAGGACAGGGCCCCTGGACCACACCCTCCAGCCCTTCCCTGAGCCAGGCCTCAGAAACCCTCCTAGCATGATGCTATTTGGACCTGGTCCTGCAAATGGGTAGTACATGGAATGCCCTGGGGCCCACAGAGTTCACCTGCCTCCCAGTCTGATCAGTCTCCCCCTCAAAAACTCCAGGACAGCCCAGCTGGTGTGCTCAGTGGTTGAGCGTCAATCCATGAACCAGGAGGTCAGGATTTGATTCCCTGTCAGGGCACGTGCCCAGGGTTGCGGGCTCGATCCCCAGTAGGGGGAGTGAGGGAGGCAGTTGCTTGATGATTTTCTCTCACCATTGATGTTTTTCTCTCTCTCCCTCTCCCTTCTCCTCTCTGAAATCAAAACATATTTATAAAACAAAACAAAAAACAACCCAGGACAGTGACTCTGACCTTTATCCCTGGAAGCTCATGGGACAATCTGGGTATAACTTTTTCTCCATCTGAGAACAGTAGTTTAGCCTGAAAGGAAAAGACCATGTTAACAGTCACTGTTTTGGTGGGAAGTCTCTCTGCCTTCATTTTTACAGACATACTTCCAACTGGGTGACAAGGTGTTTCACGGTCAAGATATGCACATAAGCAGATACTCATTAAAAAACAACAACTTGAGGTCCTGGCTGGTTTGGCTCAGTGGGTAGAGTATCAGTCTATAGATCGAAGGGTCCCGGGTTTGATTCCCAGTCAAGGGCACAAACCTCAGTTGCAGGTATGATCCCTGGCCCCAGTCGGGGAGCATATGGGAGGCAACCAATTGATGTCTCTCTCTCATGTCGATTTTTCTCTCTCCCCCACCCTCCACACTCTAAAAATCAATGGAAAAAAAATACCCATGGGTGAGGATTAAAAAACACACACACAAAATAATGATCACTGTTGAAAAATTAGAAAATGTAAATAAGAAAATCAAACCGGACAACTCAGTATCCACAGAGTACTGTGTTAACACTTCAATGTAGAGTTTTCATTTTCCCATGTAAATATATACTGTGTGTGGTTTCTAACGAAATGCATTGATAGACTACAGACTCCTCAGGAAGCTGCGGTTTTGTTTAATAACACTGTGTGCCTAGCATGTAAGTGCTGGGGATGTGGCAGGAGTAACACGAGCAAGGCCTTTACTTTGTGAAACTTATAATCTGTAGGCGATGTGAGTAAGCAAACGAATAAACATGTAAACAATGTGACTTTAGACAATAATAAATGTTCTGGAGAAAAATCCACGGGCAGAATCGACAGAGAACAGCCGGGAGGGAGGGCTCTTTGAAGCAGGTGGTCAGGAAAGGCCTTGCTGAGAAGGGAGCCTGAGCTGAGATGTGGAGGACAAGGAGCCACTTTTCGTGACATCTCAGAGCAGCACTTGAGAGGCCCTGAGCACCGCCTCCTTCTGGAAACACTTTTCTGCTGGCTCCTGTGGCCACACTTCTCTGGTTTTTCTCCTATTTCTCCAGCCACTTTCTTAGCCTTCTTTGCTGGCCCATCCTCCCTGACCTGGTTCTTTTCACTGTCCTCTTTCATTAGATATTCTATCTGCTTTCATCTATGATCACAGCTTCAATTAACATCTATAAGCTGATTATTCTGTAATTTTTTAAATCTTCAGCTGTAGCCTCCCCTTTGTGCTCCAGATTTGTATAACGGTCTGCCCATGTCTATGTGTGGATGTACCAAATATGCTACTTCCGAAAATGACTTCATGATCTTCTCCTCCAAAAGCTGTCCCTTTTCAGTGAAGAGTGCACGAGTCCCAATGCATGTTTGTTATTTCATACCTGTCCGCCTAACTAGGATGTAAGTTCTATGAAAGCAGGAACTGTGCTTGTTTGTTTGCTATTTGTTCTCATTTGTTCATTCACTCACTCATTCAAAAAACACTTAGTGTACTAATATTAAGAGTCCTATTCTAGGGCCAGGAATGCAGCAGCGAACAAGATCTGGCCTCAACTCTCATAAAACAAGATTTTAGCAGAGGTAGGTGGGAGGGAGGCAACAAATAAAGTATTAATAATTGCAAGTTGAAATAAATGGTGGAAATAAACAAGTGAGGTGATAGAGAGTAACTGGGGAAGGAAGTGAGATGAGGGCTACTTTAGATTGAGTAACCAGGGTTGGCCTCTCTGATGAGGTGATTATAAGCTAAATCTGAAGGAAAAATGGAGCCAGTTATGTAAAGAGTTAAGGGTAGAGCAGGTCAGGAAGTGAGAACAGCAAATGCTAAGGCCCTGAGTTGGTGTGCTGGAGAAGCAGAAAGAGTCCAGTGTGGTGAGAATATAGTCAATAGGAGCAGGTGGGATGAGATGAAGTTAAAGAGAGAGGAGCCAGTCCACGTAGGGCTCTGTGGGTCATGGTAAGGCATAAGGGTTTTATTCTGCCTGCAAAATAAAGTCACTAACATGTTTTAAAGAGCAGAATGAGACAATGTGATTCATCTTTAAAAAGATGGGTCTGGACACTGTGAGAATGGATTTCAGAAAGGCAAGAGTAGAAGTAGCTCAGGGCTGAGACAAACATTTGGGAATCATCAACAGTTAAACTTTTAGGCTTCAAAGCCCAGGACTAGATGAAATCACCTAGAACGAGAATGAGCCACAGAAGAGAAGGGATCTGAGGGCTGAACTCAGGAGTGCACTAACGGTCAGAGGTCAGGTGGAGAAGAACTGGCCCAGGAAACTGAGGGGGTGTGGCCAATAAGGCTGGAGCCGAGAGAGGAGCATTCTAAGAACCATGACATCATCTACTGTGACAAATGCCACCAAGAAGTGGAGTAACCTCTCACTGACGGGATGGAGTTTTGCCTTTTCAGAGCTGAGGTCCACGCCCTGGTCTTGCTCTTTTCTGAGGCTGTGCCTGAGTAGCTAGCCAGCCAATCTTATGATAATTACCCTTATAGATCTGAACTCAAATCAGCCCTTGTGGCTTTGATTATGAAGAAATTTCCATCTCTGACAGCTAATGGTTTCATAGTCAAGCACAGAGTCTGGGTGATGCTGACAATTTCTATTAATAACAACAGCTGATACATGCAAACAGGCTCACCACTATCTTGGGGACACAGCCATTTATAGACCTGATGTCATGCCTCCTGACCACACCCTGAGAGGCAGAGAGACAGAAAGGGTGATAGTCCCCAAGATACCCAAAGGGGCCATGATTCCTTGAAGGATCAAGTCACAAGTACTTGCAGAGGTGAGATGGACCTTAGCTATTCTAACTCTTGCTTGTTCTAAGCCACAATTTCTTCATCTGTAAATTAGGGATTAAAACATGTCTTCTGTACAGGGTTTCTTCTGAGATGTAAATAAACAAATGATGTGAAAACATCTATCACAGTACCTTCTCTCCCCTTCTAACAGCAACACCTCCAAGCCCTATCTGGATGTAAGTGGCTTCTCTGGCATCCCCCAATGATGATGAGATCACATTTCGTAGCACACCCACAAGGGCTAAGCCCTGTGCCTATGTCTCTTGTCCTATTTGGTCTCACCTGCTCCAGGCAGCTCCGACAGGCTTCCTGGATCAGCTGCTCTGCATCCACTTCTTCCCCAACGTTGTCTCGCACATTCAGTGCCGCCTTCTGGAAGAACTAGGGAGAAGTACAAAGAGGAAATTGGATATAAAAGAGAAGCTTTTAGCTCTGGTTGGTGTTGTCCTGTGCACCAAAAGGTTGGGGACAAGACTTCTAAAACAACAAATATTTCTGGAAGGCTGTGGTCCAAGGCCATTTTTGCTGGCTAAAAGCGGGGTCTCTGGAACCAGAGGGTGCACACAGCTCTTCTTAAAACTGAAGGTTTATACTCGAGATGAAACTGAATACTGTCTAGGCAAGAGATGTGCTTATGTGTACAAGGCAAAAGAACAACACAGTGACTCCTGATGGCAAAATGAACAAAACCAGAGTCATCTGGGGAAAGGAACTCGTGCTCATGGACAGTGGCATGGGTTTGTGCTAAATTCTGAAGCAACCTTCCTGCTAAGGCTGTTGGACACAATCCGTGTAATGCTCAAGGATTTAAACTTATTGAAAAGCAAATAAAAGTGGATCCGTTCTCTTGTATTTTTGTCAAATGGGTTAAATAGAAATAAATAAAAGAGAAGCTTTTATCATACCCTCATTCAGAAGGGAAAAATGATTCTGAGCATGGCTTTGAGATCAGACAGATTTAGACTCATATCCCAGGCGCATTTCCCCACTCTATCCTAGTTTAAGGAGCATAATCATAGAGGGACCCACTATTCTTGGCTAGTGCAAAATCAAAGAATAACCTAAATGTCCAAGTATAACTTAAATAAATTAAGGCATAGCCATACCATGAATATGCAAATATTAAAAATCACAGTAAGGACATATAAGAAAATATATTTTTGACGTGAAAGGTATTCATGATATACTGCTAAGTGAAGGAAGCAAGTTATAAAATAGTTTGGCATCATATGAGCCTATTTATGTAAAATAGCAAAAAGCAGAGACAAAAGAGCTGTAAGAATATATATTTAAGTAACAGTGGTGATATCATGAATGATTGTTTTTTTCTTATCTACATTCTCTCAGTTTTTATAGTGTACATGTATTACTTCTGTAGAAAAAAAAGGAATACCAGTGCCTGAAGTGAATAGGCCAGGGCAGGTCAAAAAAGATTCAGAATGTAGAAAGTCCTGGTTGAATCTGACTTTGCCCAATCTCAAAGGATCATCCGTGGGATGGGAGAAGTGAGACCTGGCCAGGGCCCCAGGATACCAGCAGCTCCAACTGACTGGGGAAAGAGAAGGCAAAAGGTTCTACCACTGGGTAAGAGGGAGAGCTAAAGCCTGAAAACGCCGAGGACTAGATGATGTGAGGCCCCAGACCAAGGCACTGAGAACACATTCATAATGAGAGCTCAAGTCATGTCTCTAGAAAAAAGTGTTAGTTCCCTCTGGCGACAGAAAAATTTTGGAACCTACAACCAATGCTCCTACTGTGCAAGATAACTATGTGGACTGTACTGTCATTATATATATAAATTAGAAATATATATATTTATTGATTTTTAGAGAGAGAGAGAAAGAGAAACATTGATTTGTTTTCCACTTATTTATATATTCATGGCTGATTCCTGTATGTGCCCTTACCAGGGATCGAGCCCACAACCTTGGTATATTGGGATGATGCTCTAACCAACTGAGCTTCTGGGCCAGGGCACTGTATTTTATATTTAGCAAGGTCAAATGCCTTTGATATTAACATCCAACCAAGGAAAAGAGTGTGAAAGCACTGAATTAGAGACCTCATGAGCTTAGGAGGAAAATTCTTCAGGCCAAATTAAATGGAATAAGCAGATGAGTTTGACTTTAAAACCAAAACTAAATTAAAACTGGTGTTCTATGACAACTAATGGCTAAATGAAATCTAATTATAACAACTTGGGATACTTTAGAACCAGCCTATGAGTTAGGCAGGGCAATGAATATATTGGGGTGAGCATAAGCTACACCTCTGAGCCTGAGAATGAAATCCAGTGATGAATCAGGCATTCTCAAACACTAGTGGTAGAAATGCAAAACGGCACAATCTTTTTGGAGACAAATTTTCTCAAGAGAAAGGTGTTTCCCCTTTTACCTATGAATTCCATTTCTAGGAATTTATCTCCCAGAAACACTCTCACAAATGAACCAAACCGGATAGGGAGGCAGTCTATTCTCTATACAATAGTAAGAGTAACTCTTTAAAAAAACATTCAGATCACATGCTCTGCTTAAAACTCTCTAAGAGTCTTTTTTTACTCATAATAACACCCAAAGTTGTGCCCTAGCCAGTTTGGCTCAGTGGTTAGAGTGTCTTGGGTTCGATTCTGGTCAAGGGCACGTACCTCGGTTGCAGGTTCGATCCCCAGCCCCAGTTGGGGTGTGTGCAGGAGGCAACCAATTGATGTGTCTCTCTCACATTGATGTTTCTCTCTCCCCCCCTTCCACTCTCTCTGAGAAGCAACGGGAAAAAATATCCTCGGGTGAGGATTAAAAACAAAACAAAAAAGCCTCCAAAGTGCTTACCATGCCTTCAAAGGTTCTGCATGAGCTGGGCCCTCTTATACCTCTGATCACCTCTCTTACTCTCCTCTGGCTCAGTCTGCTCCAGTCACACTGGCCACTTGGGTGCTTTGAATATACCAAGTACAGTCCTGCCTCAGGGCCTCTGGCCTTGTTGCCTTAGCTGGCATGGTTTCTCTCCCAGGTATCTGTATAGCTTGTTCTTTTCTCAGGTTATTCAAATCTCTGCTTAAATGTCCTTTTATCAGGCGGCTTTCCCAGTGACGATCTATGAAATAGCACCCCTGTTCCCCACTAGTCACTCTCTTCCCCTTCTCTCTGGCATTCCATAACAAAGTACAAATTTGCTAAAAGAGGGCAAGGACATTGTCCGTTTTGTTCACTGCTACATCCCCAGTGCCTAGAATAGTGCCTTCATTATGGTAAATGCTCAGTAAATACTTCTTGAATGAATGAGTAAACAAAAGATGAGGGAGGTTTAGGAAGAAAAACAAAGAGTTCAGTTCTGACTATGCTGGGTTTGAAGCATCCGAGAGACATTCAGGTAGAACCATGTAGAAGTTTATTTATAGTCCTAGAAAATAATTTTAAATAATAATAATGGTGATATTATTAAACAAATAATAAAAACACTAGTTATGGTCCAAGCACAGTTCTGAGCACATTACACTTAAGTCATTTCATCCTCACAACAGCTTGGCAAAAGAGGTGTTCAAATTACCCATAAAGAGGGAAAAAACTTCTTGGGTTCAGAATTAGAAAACTTTAGCCTGGCCGGGCGTGGCTCAGCAGTTGAGCATCAACCTAGGATCCAGGTGATCGAGGTTCGATTCCTGGTCAGGGCACATGCCTGGGTTGCGGGCTGCAGCCGATCAATGACTCTCTCATTGATGTTTCTATCTCTCTCTCTCCTCCTCCTTTCCTCTTTCTGAAATCAATAAAGATATATTTAAAAAAAAAAAAAGAATTAGAAAACTTTAGACATCTGTGTGTACTAGAGAGAGCCAGGGAGACTGTGATGCAGACAAGGACTGCTCATGAGTCTTTCTCCCTGTTAATGTTTTATCTTTGTGTTCCTCTCACCTTCATGTATTTGTTGAACACAGTCTGGATCTCCTCATTGATGCTAGGCTGCAGCACAGCCCGGAGGAGGTCCATGGAGATGGCGGGATCTGTGAAACTGCATTCAGGAGAGAGACACAGTCAGGGTACATGTCCCAAACACATCGTTTCTTAGTCTGCCCAGCCAATTATTGACATAGGATCCTTTAATGACAATAACAGACAGCTTTTACTGAAAACTAGCTATGTGCCCAGGTTCTCTGTAAACTACATAGATGCATGCCTTTATTTCATCTTATAACTCTATGAAATGAGTATTATTTTAAAAGTGTTATGATATGCTGTGTAATACTTACACAGAAAAGTCTATACACATTAACAAATAGTGTTAGTGAACATCCATTTAATCACTATCCAGGTCAAGAAATATAATCGGCGTTTTGCCCGGCCAGGCGTGGCTCAGCGATTGAGCGTTGACCTAGGATCCAGGCGATCAGGGTTCGATTCCCGGTCAGGGCACATGCCCAGGTTGTGGGCTCGATCAATGACTCTCTCATCATTGATGTTTCTATCTCTCTCTCCCTCTCCTTTCCTCTCTCTGAAATCAATAAAGATATATTTAAAAATATATATATATATATATATATATATAATTGGCTTTCAAAGGCCCATCTTGTGCTCTCTTTTATTATTTATTTAATAATAATATTTATTATTAACACAGGGTAATAGTACCCTGTGGATACTATTAGACACACTTTTTTAACCTCCATGCTACTCTGCCTCTTTTAGAGATCTCAAACAAGAGCTAGTGAGTGCTAGTGATCTTAGGCATTGTTTAATCTACCTGTTCCCCTCATNTTGGCATTTCAAAGGCCCATCTTGTGCTCTCTTTTATTATTTATTTAATAATAATATTTATTATTAACACAGGGTAATAGTACCCTGTGGATACTATTAGACACACTTTTTTAACCTCCATGCTACTCTGCCTCTTTTAGAGATCTCAAACAAGAGCTAGTGAGTGCTAGTGATCTTAGGCATTGTTTAATCTACCTGTTCCCCTCATTTTGTAGGAGTTCAGAGGGGGAAGTGGTTTACTCAAGGTCACACAGCCACAGAATCTGAGTGTCCTCTTTTCTAGTCCAGTGCTTTTTCTACTGCCTGAAAATCTCTTCTTAGCTCTCTACAACTAGGACCCCAAAGCTGCCTTCCAAGACAGTGCCTGGGAGGTAAGTCCCACCCAGAGCCTGCCTTACCTGGTTGTCATCTGTGAGCGGCGGCCCCTTCGCTGCACCTGCCGGTGCTTTATCATTATGTTCCAAGGGTTCTGTGGGGACCAAGGGAGCAGATGTCACTGAAGTCTGTGACATTGGGGTGAAGGTGGAGGGGGGTATGAAGTTAAACCTGGACAGCCCTGCTTCTCAGGCGCTCTCATCACTTCTCCCACCTTGGGGTGGGGTGGGGGGAAAGGGCAATGATTGGAAGGCCCTGCCAGGGAAGAGAACCTCAGGGAGAGTTTCCTGCCTCAAAAGTCTCGACCCCACCTTTTCAGGAAAGGCTGGAGGAAGGGAATCAGTGTTTACCGAGAGCCTACTCTGGCGGCAGATGATGTGCTGGGCGTTTTACCCGCATTTATATCCCATCCCCATAACAACCTAATCATCTCCGTTTTACAGAAGAGGAAACTGGAGCTCAGGGGCTTGACAGGACCGGCCCACGTCACCTAGCGAGGAGGCTGGCACCAGAATTTGAATCCAGGTCGTCGGACAGCGAAAAACGCCAACCCCCTCGGCAGCTCCAGCCACCGCGTTCTCTCGCCCGCGGGCTAGGGTCCCGGGAACCCGAGGCCCTGCCGGCCCGAGCCCAGGCCCGCCCGGCCTCCCGGGGGGCACTCTCACCGTGAGAACCAGCTGCCCCGCTGCGCCCGCGTCTCCCAGCTCCAGGCCGCCCCGCTCTGCCCCGCCGGGTCCCCGCGGCTGCTCGGCGTCGCCAGTGGCCCCCATGGCGC